GACATTTGCTGGACATGTGGAGTTGAACCTCAATCAATATACACTCCTTTATCATCTGATTAAGTAAACTGAAGTTATTTGCTGACAGATGAATATTATTGTTCGCCCTAAGGAGTAACAGCAATGTATGTGACACATGTTGGATAAGGCTAGAAAAACAGTCTTTGTTTGTTTTTGAATATAGGCTCCCAGAGTTCACCCCTGAAGAAGTCCAAAGGATCAATGGGACTCATGATTTCTTCGGCTTAAACCATTACTGCAGTGTTCTTGCATTCCATATTGATGTAGGAGATGCCCAGGATTATGATTCTGACAGGTAAGTTGGAATTAAAAAGTGACTCTCAGGTCACTTTTAATTTCTGCTTCCTTAGTACGTCAAATTACCTGAGTTAAAGATGTTTCACAGTGTTTTGCTGCCTGTTTCAATAATAAATGTACATAGATGCAACTGGAAATGTTTACTTTTGCACTGGACAGCAAAAGCTTTAAGCCAGAGTTACACACTGAACTGGTCCTGAGCTGTGATGTCTAATCCAATATTTAGGGCTGCTGCAGTAATGGCCGACCGCACCTGGCTTGAAACTGGCTCCAACTGGCTGAGGATCACTCCATTTGGATTTAGGAAACTTCTCGAATTTATTAAGGATGAGTATGGAAACCCACCCATCTATGTCACCGAGAATGGGGTGTCAGAGAAAGGAGCAGTGGACTTGAATGACGTCCCCAGACAGTACTACTACGAGAACTACATTAACCAGGGCCTGAAAGGTACGATAGTCAACATGAAAGAAGGAGTAGACTGAGTTATCAGAATTTTTTATACAGATTCTTTGCTTTCATCATAAAAACCTAAATTAAAGATTTGTATGAGAGAACGACCAACAACAAATAACAAACCAAATTCACTGAGCCGAGGTTTTATGCTTTTGATTTATACTGTGTACATGCATGTTAAATGTATTCCTGTTGTTGTCTCAGCCCGTGTTCTGGATGGAGCCGATCTAAGAGGCTACACAGCCTGGTCATTAATGGACAACTTTGAGTGGGCTGAGGGCTATGCTGAGCGATTTGGACTTTTCTTTGTGAACCGCTCAGACCCTAATCTGCCTCGCATCCCTAAAGTGTCAGCATCTCACTATACCTCCATCATCAAGTGCAACGGCTTCAAAGATCCAGCCCTCGGACCCCATGAGTGCTTGACCCCTGACGATGGAGGTAACATAATAAATAACAGCACACATTTAAAACTGATGCAGTAACTGTCAGATTAAGGAAGTGAAACTTCCTCTAGGTTTGAATTCTGTGCAGTGCGGTGGGCGTATACCTCTTTTAATTAGAGCCTGGATATAGTCTATGTGTACATATTAGTTTAACAGGAATCAATGATGACATTTAACTTGATTCTTGTCCACTATCTCAACAGGTACACCTCCAACTACACCTGAAGTTAAACCTACAGATCCGCCTGCAGCTGAGATAACAACTACCCCAACTGTGACACCACCAGAGAACCCTGAAGTGACACCCACCCCTGGTGATCGTTTGGCGAGAGTAGCCTTCTTGGGTCGGCAGCTTTCAGCTGATGATGCTGAAGTGTCCCTTTATGTCCTGTTTGGATTTCTCCTTGTAAGTCTTATTGGGATCATCACCATTGCGTATGGGCTCCTGAAAACAATAAAGAAGTTAAAGAAAGCATCGAAGGAATCATTTAAGATGGCAAGAATGTGAGGAAAGCTTTGGAGGAATGTCAAAACCAGCCAAAGTTCTGTCAGCTTTTATGTGTTTTTGTCCTATTTAATTCAACAATGCAGAACAGCTGTATTGTTTTAACATTTTGAGCTAAATGGCCTCTACATCAGTCAGAGCTCTGCAACAAATAACTGTGAAGATGTGCTGCTTACCACCAGCACAGAAAGAAAGAAAATACTGTGGAGTTGTTGTTTTTGTTTTATGTGTCACAAAATGTGCTATTTAAATTGTTATGAACTTGGCTGGTAAAATTGTGGTCGTGACATATAATTTATTAAATGTTAAATTCAATGGTAATGATAATTTGCATTTCTAATATGATTGTATTGTATAATTTAAATGTCATGTCAAGCAGGAACTTAAGACACCTTAGTTCACATTTATTTACAGTCGTGCAGTTACTCTATCACATGGTTTTACCTGTATGCACAGAAATTTGTAAAAAATGTTAATATATATATATATGTATTTTAAATTTGAATTGTATAAATTGAAGCTGTATTCCAATAAACCTGAAACCAAACCTAATATTCTGACATTGAATTCTGTTGTTTTGAAATTGTACTTGATCCTCACTTAAAATTCCCCTCTCTGCATTCAGTTTTCACAATTTCAGCTCTTGAAATTCAGATTCACATTCTCTGTTTTAGTAAATCTCTGGATCCATGAGTGTCACATCCACTTTGTCAAAGTTATGCGACTAACACTGCTTCACGAGTCAACATTATTCGAGCAATATTTTCTTTCAAGAAATAATGTCGTCGGATTTTAAGACTGAAAGAGTGACAAAACTGTGAAATGTTGAAATTAAACTCAAGCACAAACAAATGACAATATTGGAAAATATGATATATAAACGGAATTCATGTACACACTGAACAAACCATGGAAGACGTATAGAAAGCAACAATTGTGATAAATAGTTGTCTGAGGCAGCAAAAACATGAGCTTGTAATTTCGTGCGTGAGCTTGCAGTTTGTTTCTGGGTCAAGGCCACACAGCTGTGCACAAGAAAGGGTGACAAGTAAGAGAGTGGTGCAGGTGCAATGGGGAAGGAAGATGTGTGGCCTTGAGCTGCTGCTTTGGGCTGCCTGTTAGGTTTTGTTGTTTTTCTAAAAAGGAGATGCATGAAAACCACAATTAGATCCTATACTCCCAGATATGAATAAATTCAAACACAATGGTAACAGAGATGTCCTAATTGGTCTTTAAAAGAATGGGTTGCGGTTCCCCAGCAGAAGAAGCAGAGGATTTTTCCAGAAGTACAGAAGTTGTAATGCATTGTTAATCTGTTAAAACTCGAGATTTGCTCATGTGTGTTCTCACAAGCTCTGGATTGAATAAACATTATTCACATCAGACTTCAGACAGCTGAGGACTTTTTCTTGAAAGCTGTTTGAAGACTCCAATTGTTGATACAGAAGTGATTTTCTTTTGACAAAATGTTGGACAAAGCTGCCTGATCATCACCAGTCAACAGCAGAGTCAAAACAATAAGGATTTTAATTGTCCTGTTGTCATGTTTGTCATTGTCAATGAACGACCTCTGGATGGCGCCAGTAAATTACTTTCCAAGGAGATGGTGACTGTGACTCTGCTGTTACTACAAAATGTTGCAGTTTCACATTTCTTCTGCACAAACATTTCACTAAAAAGTAAGATAAGGCTAAATATGAGTATAAATTAAGAAGGTATGTCAAAAAAACAAATATGTGATCATGCAATGAAGCTTGTTGGGTGTTTACTTTGAGAAACAGTCTTCTGAATGTTTCATACATACATTCAATTCAAGGATTCAAGGTCTTTATTGGTCACAAGCACAGTCATACACGGTATAACACGCAGTGAAATGCTTTGTGTACCTGTTCCACACCGAAACAATATTAAGAGATGAATAAAAATAAGAATAAACACACAAGAAATATATATATATATATATATTAGAGATGCGCCGATCCGATACCGGGTATAGGTGAAATTATTATAAATTATTANACAGATTCTCTTTGTCCTGGTCCAGGATCTTTCCTGATGGTACTCCTTCCTCCCTGAACCAGAAAGGTGTTGACTATTACAATAAACTCATTAATAGCCTGATAGCAAATAAAATCACTCCCATGGTGACACTTTACCATTGGGACCTCCCTCAAGCTTTGCAAAACCTCGGTGGCTGGGAGAATGAAAACATGATTAACTTTTTTAATGACTATTGTGACTTCTGCTTTGCCACCTTTGGTGACAGAGTGAAATTGTGGATGACCATCAACCAGCCTCACTCAATTGCATGGTTAGGATATGGGCTTGGACAGATCCCTCCAAATGTTAAGAATCCAGGAACCACACCATATATAGTTGCACACAACCTGATCAGAGCTCATGCCAAGGCTTACCATACATATGATGACAAGTATCGCACATCCCAAGGAGGTCTTGTATCTATTGCCCTCAATGCTGACTGGATTGAACCTAAAGATGCCAATGCTCTCCGTGACGTGGAGTCTGCTGACCGCACACTGCAGTTCCAACTGGGCTGGTTTGCACACCCCATTTTCAAGAATGGCGACTATCCTGATGTAATGAAGTGGCAAGTTGGAAACAAAAGTGAACTCCAAGATCTTTCAGGGTCAAGACTACCTTCCTTCACTGAAGAGGAAAAGAACTACATCAAGGGAACTGCTGACATGTTCTGCATAAATCATTACACTACAAAGGTAGTAACTTTTGCTGTAGGTCAGCTTTCCCCTCTGTCATATGATCAAGACAGGGATGTGTTAGAAACAGAAGAGCCTGATTCACCAACTACGGCCTACGCAGGACAGAGAGCTGTGTCATGGGGCTTGAGAAGACTCCTCAACTGGATCAAGGAAGAGTATGGAAATCCACAGATTTATGTTTCCGAGAATGGAGTCCCTTCACCCTATCCTATCACACTTGATGACATAGAGAGAGTATTTTACTACAAAACCTACATTG